CAAAGTGCTGGGATTACAGGCTTGAGCCACCGCGCCCGGCCAGAAATTCTTTTCTCATTAGTTTGATTCCAACTTTAAAGTTTTGTTTATGATTAGGGAAATTTGATTTTGTTGAATATTTTAATTGATGTTTGATTGAATAAAATATTGATGAAATTGTCTGCTTTGAATAGGTACTATTACCAAAGGGGTATTCTGGCAAAAGTGGAAGGTCAGCGCCTGGTGTATCAGTTTAAAGAAATGCCAAAAGATCTTATATATATAAATGATGAGGATCCAAGTTCCAGCATAGAGTCTTCAGATCCATCACTATCTTCATCAGCCACTTCAAATAGGAATCAAGCCAGCCGGTCGAGAGTCTCTTCAAGTCCAGGGGTAAAAGGAGGAGCCACTACAGTTCTAAAACCAGGGAATTCTAAAGCTGCAAAACCCAAAGATCCTGTGGAAGTTGCACAGCCATCGGAAGTTTTGAGGACAGTGCAGCCCACGCAGTCTCCATATCCTACCCAGCTCTTCCGGACTGTTCATGTAGTACAGCCAGTACAGGCTGTCCCAGAGGGAGAAGCAGCTAGAACCACCAGTACCATGCAGGATGAAACATTAAATTCTTCTGTTCAGAGTATTAGGTGAGAAAACCAAACTACTGATGCTTATCACTTCAATATGTTTCTGACCAGAGACATTATTTGTTAAGTGGGTCAGGATTCAGAAATGAAAATAAAAGTATATAGATTTCAAGCTAGAACTCTTGGTTACCAGATTTTTCAGGAGCAGTATATATTACGTCAGTCCTCTAATTATGCCACTGGTCCCTTTATTTACATTTTGACATTACTGACATTCTGTCAGTTTAAGTATAGTTCACTATACCTTTGTATAACTGGATTGATCCATATAAGAAGTTACCTAGATGTGAGAAAATCCAGGGAATGGTTTCAAATCTTTATTCAGGCCAAGTCAGAAGCTTCAAAATTTCAACGTAAATTGACATATTAGGACATTGAGAGTACATGGAGTTCCAAGCAATAAATGTTGTTCCTTGGAAGATCCTATCTTGGAACAATTCTAAAGTTCAAATAGGAGGGGAGGCCAAGAATCTAAGGTCCTCTTTTTCAGGCCTTTAGAGTGGCAGAAGTCAGAGAAGTAGGGGTTTTTTTTTGTTTTGTTTTTTGGTTTTTTCCTTTTCGGTTAAATCAGATTTCCCTCAGAGCCCCAGGAAAAGATGCTAAACAACAAATTGACCGAGAGAACCTGTCTGCCTTGGACTGATCTTCAGCAGAAATTTGGGACTAGTCTCAGCTGATTTAGAATGGGGGTATGGGAGGAAGGCAGAAAATTATATGGATATTTGTAGCATTTTTCTGTTTATACTGTCATGAATTTCTAGAACATGAATTATAATAAAATCTAGCAGCCCTTTCAAAGCCAAAACAAACTACTATTTGATTACTTCTATTAGCAAACTTCAGTCTTACATTTTTATATTCCAGAATATAAATGTGGAGGTTTTGCTCAATTTATCTTGAAGTAAGGTAACATTACCTAGAATCAAGGCAGACTTCGATGATTCAGTCTTCTTTGTATAGACAATTTAAAATGTTTGACCTTGTGAAAATATTCTCTTAAATCTTCAGTTGATTTGCGAGGAGTGCAAAGATGACCTTTAAATTTTTAATTGGCTGCTACATCTTTAACTGTTTTTAAAGGAGTATATCTTGAGTACCCTTATCCGAAATGCCTGGGACCAGGAATATTTTGGATTTTGAACTGTTTCAGATTTTAAATCGTTGCATTATACTTACCCAGCACATCATCCCAAATCCAAAAATCTGAGGTCCAAAGTGCTCCAGTGAGCATTTCCTTTGAGCGTCATATTGGCACTCAAAAAGTTTCATATTTTGGAACGTTTTGGATTTCAGATTTTCAGATTTGGAATGCTTAGTGGGTGCTTATTTAACTCTTACTGTCTATATTCTTCCCTTAATGTTTTGTATTTCCTTAGGCCCTGTGGGTTACATGTGATGACTGGGTGTCTAGTTGGGAGTGTGTGGTTCCTCCCATTGGTTGCTAGGCTGTTTGTTGTTTGTATTTGTGTTGATAGGAGACCTATAATGGCCACAGCTGATTCCATGGAATTTTTTAGCACCTGTATTCAAAATATTGTTTTCAGACTGTGAGAATAAACCCAAAACAAAAACTCTTCCTTTGAAAGATACTAAATTGTAGATATTGTAGAGTAGGTTTTTGTTTTGTTTTGTTTTGTTTTTTTGTTTTTGAGACAAAGTCTAGCTAGCTTTGTTGCCTAGGCTGGAGTGTAATGATACCATTGTAGCTCACTGCGTCCTACCGCCAGGATTCAAGCAATCCTCCCACCTCAGCCTTCTTTACAGCTGGGACTACAGGCATGTCCAGCTAATTTTTTAATTTTTTGTAGAAATGGGGTTTTACTTTGTTGCCCAAGTTGGTCTTGAACCAAGACCAACCAAGCAATCCTACCACCTCGGCCTCCTGAAGTGCTGGGATTATAAGTGTGAGCCACTGCACCTGGCCTAGAATGGTTTTTTATTAGGACAAGTTCTGGTTTTGTTATTTCTTATATTTTTTGTTTGCATTTTTGTAATTACCCAACCTTTTACTCTGAAAAATTTCAAAGTATGGAAAAATTCAGCTAGTACTATGAACACGTATTTACTATCCACCTAAATTCACAAATTGATAGCATTTTGCATTATTTGTTTTCTGTTTATTTATACTCTTTTTTCTCTTTGCTATATCTTTCTTGATTTTTGATGACTTATTAATAAAATCAGAGGCTTTTAACTTTTTTCCCTGTGGTTGAGAGAAGATGGAATGTATATGATTATATATATAATTAGATAAATTATTAATATAACAACAAGAGCTGACACTTATAGAGCAATCTTTGTATTTCATACACTTTACGTATAGTGAGGTATAGAATCCTCATAGCTCAATGAAGAATAGATAATATCCCCGTTTTATAAATGTGGAAACTGAAGCAAGGAGAGACCAGGGAACTTGGTCACATCTAGTAGATGGTGAGATAGTATTTTAATGTAAGTTGTTTAGCTGCAAGCAGTGAAGTTAATGACTTGCTACACTGCCTACTGATTTACATAAATCACAGGAATTGTCAGTTATTTACAGTAAAGCAGCAACATCTTAATTTTGTCCTTCACTCATTTATTTTTATTTCATGTGATTGCATGCATCTGTGTTGATTCAATTAAGCTTTTCTTAATTGGTGTACAGTATATATGCTCAGTTTTTACAAATTTACAAAAAGAAGCCAGTTTGATTCTGGCTTCATGGTAGTCAAAGAAACAACAACAGAAAAACCGCTGGTAAACTATTTTCTGAAAAATTGCCCCTTGGTAAACATGGGAGGCCATTTTACCTAGCATAACTTTTATTTATCCAAGCATTAATAATTTTTCTTAGGATCTTTTAAATAAATTATCCTGGCCAGGTGCAGTGCCTCACACCTGTAATCCCAACACTTTGGGAGGCTGAGGCAGGTGGATCACCTGAGGTTGGGAGTTTGAGACCAGCCTGGTCAATAGGGCAAAACCCCGTCTCTACTAAAAATACAAAAATTAGCTGGGCATGGTGGCAGGCACCTGTAATCCCAGCTACTCAGGAGGCTGAGGCAGGAGAATAACTTGAACCCAGGAGGCAGAGGTTGCAGTGAGCCAAGATGGCATCACTGCACTTCAGCCTGGGCAACAGAGTGAGACTCCGTCTCAAATAAGTAAATAAACAAATAATCCTGTGAAAATGTATAATGTGTAGGTTCTCTTAAAAGCATATAGAAGCTGAGTGCGGTGGCTTATGCCTGTAATCCCAGCACTTTTGGAGGCCGAGGCGGGCGAATCACGAGGTTAGGAGTTCGAGACCAACCTGGCCAACATGGTGAAAGCCTGTCTCTACTAAAAATACAAAAAATTAGCTAGGTGTAGTGGCGGGCGCCTGTAATCCCAGCTACTCGGGAGGCTGAGGCAGGAGAATCGCTTGAACCTGGGAGGCGGAGGTTGCAATGAGCTGAGATTGTGCCCTGCACTCCAGCCAAAGTGACGGGGTGAGACTCCGTTTCAAAAAAAAAAAAATCTTTTCAGCTCTTCGGCTTTGCCAGTTATTAGATGTGAAATTGAATCATGTTAATTATTTTGAGTCTGTTTCCTTATCTATAAAGCACAGATGATAATATTGAACCTTCCGTGTGGCTGTGGCAATTAAACAACACCTGACACCTGAGTAGATCCTCAACAAAAGCTAAATGTTGTATGGTCTGTGTTAGTTTCAGAAATTTTGGTAAATTGTAAATTGCCAATATTTTTCCAGTTGTTTACAAGCAGCTTAGGAGATTTTTTAAAAGTAGTCAGCTATAACAGAATCTGTATTACATAATATAACCAGACAGTTTAATCATTAACTAAGAAAAAAGTAATTTTAAAATTCTGTGGTTAGCAAATACTTCATAATATTTTATTTAATCTCTGAATTTGTATTATTGAAAATTGTTTTAGAATTTGTTCCAATAAGCCAATATATTTGCATTGTAGATAGTATAGATAAGTATATGTATTTTGTGACGGATGGCAGTCAGATGTCTAAAAGAAAAGGACTTTTTTTTTTTGAGACTGAGTCTTTTTGTGTAACCCAGGCTGGAGTACAGTGGCGCGATCTCGCTCACTGCCACCTTCGCCTCCCAGCTCCCGGTTCAAGCAATACTCCTGCTTCAGCCTCCCGAGTAGCTGGGATTATAGGCACGCGCCACCATGCCCAGCTAATGTTTGTATTTTTAGTAGAGATGGGGTTTCATCATGTTAGCCAGGCTGGTCTTGAACTCCGGACCTCGTGATCCACCCACCTTGGACTCCCAAAGTGCTGGAATTACAGGCGTGAGCCACCACGCCCGGCCAAGAAAATGACATCTTTTTCTAATTTAAACAGAAGCATCGAAGTCCTAGTGGTAGCCCTGATTAGCAATATGGAAAATTTCCAAGTACATTATTGCTTGTGTCATACCTTAGAGAAGGAAAGAAGAATGAGAGAGGCGTATATTGAAGAGTTGTAACTGCCTGTTGTTTAAGGATAGAATAGTAAATACTCATCTTTAGTACTTACTAAAGATGAAGTTGCTCAGGACTTAAGTGGCGGCAGTCTGTTGTAATGGTTCGGCGGCACATCGGCTCTGCAGTCAGATGGCCTCTCTTCTTCTCTAATTGGTCACCTTATTCAAGCTGTTACAACCTGTTTGTGCATCAGTGTTTTTATACGTAAGATGAGGATAATAATATTTGTAGGGTGACAAGGTTATACATATTATAAGGTTATGCATATTGATGTAATCTGTGTGCTATGTATGCCAAATATCTATGCGTATGTTATGTAAACTCTTGTCATGGGAAGCCCTTGGGACTTTTTTATTTAAAATGGTATCTGGGCTCGGCATGGTGGCTCACCCCCAGAATCCCAGCACTTTGGGAGGCCGAGGTGGGTGGATCATGAGGTCAGGAATTCAAGACCAGCCTGGCCAATGTGGTGAAACCCTGTCCCTACTAAAAATACAAAAAAATTAGCTGGGCATGGTGGCGGGTGCCTGTAATCCCAGCTACTCGGGAGGCTGAGGCAGAGAATTGCTTGAACCTGGGAGGTGGAGGTTGCAGTGAGCTGAGATCGCACCATTGCACTCCAGCCTGGGCGACAGAGTGAGACTCCATCTCAAAAACAAACAAACAAACAAACAAAAAACGGTATCTGGCTATAGCATCAGGTACTATACCCAGACTCCCATCTCACCCCAGATTTCGCTGAATCAAATGGGGAAGAGAGCTTGGGTGGCCATCTAAGTTTGGTAATCCGTATCCTGTGTGAATGGGCAGCTCTAGTCATCCTGTGCCTCGATTCCCACTTCTTTTGAACCTGTGCTGAATTGCTCTGGGTCTTTGTTTCATCTTTCCACCAAGCCAATTTGTTTTTCTCCTCCACTATTTTATTTCTCATATGTGGGAAACAGATGACATAACTAACTTTCAAAATATAGCTTTAATAATCTAGTGGTAATATGTAACGCTTGGTTTATGGAGACTAATCTAGCTGTTAGTTGTTTGAAATAGCAAGTATCTTTCATTAAATAACTTTACAGAATTCAGAGAAACAGTTGACATCCAGATGCTGAGATTTTTCAACGACATTTGTTTTATACTATATTAATAACCATAACTATAAATTTTAGAGCGGTGAACTTTTTAAAATTAGATTGGCTCATAATATCATTTATGTAACTTTCTCTTCAATGAATGGGATTAACAACCTACACAAACTAGATTTTTCATTAAAGGATTTTATGTTAAACTGTAGCGTTATGACCAAAATTTGTGAAAATTATTTGAACGTGGAAAACTGCTAAAACATGCTTCTATGTATTTTTCCAAAGCTTAGCCATATTTTCTCTGCCAGTCCAAGAGCCCTGACAGGTTAATTATAATCATGGCTTGTTTCATCTAAATATGACATGAAATGTGAGCTATTAAAATTCTAAGAATTCTGTCATATGGTTAAGACTGAGGTAGGTTTTTTGTTTAGGTTAATTAAGCACTTCCCCCTTTATATATAAAAACAGGTTGAGTACAATTATATGAATTTTCGTAATTATTGCGGATGAGCATGTTGATAACATTATCTCTCAAGTATTAAAATAGCAGGCCGGGCTCAGTGGCTCATGCCTATAAGCCCAGCACTTTGGGAGGCCAAGGCGGGTGGGTCACCTGAGGTCAGGACTTTGAGACCAGCCTGACCAACACAGAAAACCTGGTCTCAATTAAAAATACAAAAATTAGCCGGACGTGGTAGTACATGACTATAATCCCAGCTACTCGGGAGGCTGACAGGAGAATGGCTTGAACCCAGGAGTTGGAGGTTACAGTGAGCCAAGATCACGCCACTGTACTCTAGCCTGGGCAACAAGAGTGAAACTCCATCTCAAAAAAAATAGCAGGAATGAATCAAACAGATTTGCTTTTAAATTCCTAATTCTAAGAAGCTCAAGCGAACTTCTTGCTAAGCATTTTTTTTTTTTTTTTTAAGACAGAGTCTCGCTCTGTTGCCCCGGCTGGAGTCAGTGGCGTGAACTCCGCTCACTGCAAGCTCCGCCTCCCAGGTTCATGCCATTCTCCTGCCTCAGCCTCCCAAGTAGCTGGGACTACAGGCGCCCGCCACCCCGCCCGGCTAATTTTTTGTATTTTTAGTAGAGATGGAGTTTCACCATGTAGCCAGGATGGTCTCGAGCTCCTGACCTCGTGATCCACCGGCCTCGGCCTCCCAAAGTGCTGGGATTACAGGCGTGAGCCAACACACCTAGCCCTTGCTAAGCATTTTAACATCCTCCTCCTTCCCCAACAAAATTAGCTCCTCATTTGTGTTAATGTGACCCTATGTACAGACCTTTCTTCCGTAGCACTCAGCAGCTGGTATCATAGTTAATGGCCTGAGAGTTTTGTGTTAGGCATCTCTGTATGTAGTGTTTAATACAAAGTCTGGCATGATGTTAGTCATGCTGTGTTGAAAATATGGGAAGTAGCATTTTGAAACATACAACTGGTATTTTGTAAAATGACTTCTCAAGTATTAAAGTGTTAAATGATGTCGAATATGCTAATTGTCTCACTTTAATTTCATCATCTCGATAGGACTATACAGGCTCCAACCCAAGTTCCAGTGGTTGTGTCTCCTAGGAATCAGCAGTTGCATACAGTAACACTCCAAACAGTGCCACTCACAACAGTTATAGCCAGCACAGATCCATCGGCAGGTACTGGATCTCAGAAGTTTATTTTGCAAGCCATTCCATCATCACAGCCCATGACAGTACTGAAAGAAAATGTCATGCTACAGTCACAAAAGGCAGGCTCTCCTCCTTCAATTGTCTTGGGCCCTGCCCAGGTTCAGCAGGTCCTTACTAGCAATGTTCAGACCATTTGCAATGGAACCGTCAGTGTGGCTTCCTCTCCATCCTTCAATGCTACTGCACCTGTGGTGACCTTTTCTCCTCGCAGTTCACAGCTGGTTGCTCACCCACCTGGCACTGTAATCACTTCAGTTATCAAAACTCAAGAAACAAAAACTCTTACTCAGGAAGTAGAGAAAAAGGAATCTGAAGATCATTTGAAAGAGAACACTGAGAAAACAGAGCAGCAGCCACAGCCTTATGTGATGGTAGTGTCCAGTTCCAATGGATTTACTTCTCAGGTAGCTATGAAACAAAACGAACTGCTGGAACCCAACTCTTTTTAGTTAATATACCAAAGCTTGTGGATGATTGTTTGTTAATTGAACATTTTCAATTATATGCAAACTGATTGATTCTAAGATAAAGTCTAAGGAGGTTTCTAATTTTGTAATTGTTAAAGATAGAGTTAATTTTGGTTTTGTTAGATGAGGGAGGAAAACTCAACTGTTTCTCTTTGTTATCTAAATGTTTCAGAATTCAGTCGTGAAGGAACAGGCATTTTACACTATGAAGACATTCTTTTGAGATTCTTTTTTCAGTTGCTATATCATAAGCATTTTTAAAGTTTCTTTTCTAATTTTACATTGTATTAGATTTTCTGATTCTTTTGTAAATACAGAACTTAAATAGAAGGCAACAGGAAATTTATATAGGAACTATTTTCATTCCACTTGTATAAGTTAAGTCTTGACTCTTTCAAATGCAAAAAACCTATTTTATGCTTTGTTAAAATTATGGTGTCACTTAGATTGACTTTAGTTGGCTGTACTATATAATATAGAACTATGAATATGTAAAATAACATGAAAAATTGGAGGTGCTGGTGGTGTGGCTGACCCTGTTTCAGAAGCAGGATAGTGTAAAAGCATCAGCCTAAGAATGGCACTCCCACTAACTCGCTATGTAATCTTGACCTCTTTGGGCTTTAGTTCTTCTCATAAAAGGAAGAGATGTGTTGGACTAGACTAGATGATCACCACTGTCTCTTCTAGTTCTAATCTTTTTAATTCTAATACCTGTATTTTCAAGTTATGTCAATTAAATCATTATCAGGTTATTTCCTAATGTAAGAATAGCTGAAATGTTGCAGAGAAATAAGTGACCCAACAAAATTTATTCATCTATGATGGGTAAGATTTGCCATAAATTCTTCCTAAATAATTTGTTTACTAACTCTTTAGGCCACTGAGCTTTGCGGTCCATTAGTAAACTTGTGTTGCTAAGTGCTAAACAGAATACTGCTATTTTGAGAGAGTCAAGACTCTTTCTTAAGGGCCAAGAAAGCAACTTGAGCCTTGGACTAATCTGGCTGAGTAGTCAGTTATAAAAGCGTAATTGCTTTATATTTTGGATCATTTTTTATTGGGGGTGGACTTGGGGGGTTGCATACAAAGATAACATATATATCCAAGTTTCTGAAATGAAATGTTTTTAGATTACTTTTTCAACTGTAAATAATGTACATTTAATGTCACAAAAAAATTGTCTTCTGCAAATTTTCTAGTATAACAGAAATTTTTGTAGATGAAATCATTATGTTTAGAGGTCTAATGTTATGTTTTCATATTACAGAGTGAATTTGTATTTAAACAAAAATTTAAATTTTGGAATCCTCTAAACAATTTTGTATCTTTAATTGGTTTATTATTAAATAAATCATATAAAAATTCTCCGTGTTTCTGTTTTCAGGCAAAAGTTTCTTAAAGAATAAGTGTACAAAGAATATTGCTAGAACATTAGCATTACTTAATGTTTATAAATAAACAAACTCCATTAGTCAGAATTGCAGGATATCATCCTTTCACTTTTCCTTTATAGCAGGCCAAATGGCAGTTTCTAAACATCACACAATGGATTACCAAGTTGTAAAAATTAAACAACAATAAAATATTCCCAGCAATAATATTAAACACACTTTTGTTTCGTTTTGTTTTGTTTTTGAGACAGAGTCTCAGCTCTGTCGCCCAGGCTGGAGAATAGTGGCATGATCTCGGCTCACTGCAACCTCCACCTCCCAGGTTCTAGCTATTCTCCTGCCTTAGCCTCTCAAGTAGCTGGATTACTGCCTTAGCCTCTCAAGTAGCTGGATTACAGGTGCCCACCACCACATCCAGCTAATTTTTTGTATTTTTAGTAGATACGGGGTTTCACCATGTTGGCCAGGCTGGTCTTGAACTGATCTCAGGTGATCTGCTCGCCTTGGCCTCCCAAAGTGCTGGGATTGTAGGTGTAAGCCACCACGCCCCACCTAAACACACTTTTGAAAATAAGTTTTCTAGTTAGAAACTAGGTCAGTTAATAGTTAAACTTGGAAAACATCGAAAAATTTTCTTATGAAAATTAAAGTCTCTGTAATCCAGTAAGAAGTAACTTTCACTTATTCATTTTTTCATGTTTGTGAATGTTCTTCCAAAATGTGATTTTAAAGGCTGTGTAATATTATATTAGTATACCAAAATCCAGTTAAATAAAACCTTTTTAACTAGATAAGTTAGTTTTATAGTTTTTCGCCACATAGTGAATATCAGTGTCTTAGTTCGTCGTCTTCGTTGCTGCTATAACATAATACCTGGGACTGGGTAATTTATAATGAACAGAAATTTATTTGCCCACAGTTCTGGAGTCTGGGAAGTCCAATATTAATGCACCAGCAGGTTTGGCAGTTCTCATTCCAAACAGTGCCTGAACACCGTGTCCTCTGGAGGGAAAGAAGGCTTCATCTTCAAATGGCAAAGACAGAAAAGCAAAGAGAGCCCACTTCCACTTCCAAAAGACTTTTATTTATTTATTTATTTATTTTGAGACAGAGTTTTGCTCTTGATGCCCAGGCTGGGGTGCAATGGCGTGATCTCGGCTTACCTCAACTTCCGTCTCCCGGTTTCAAGTGATTCTCCTACCTCAGCCTCCCAAGTAGCTGCGATTACAGGCATGCACCACCACACCCAGCTAATTTTCTATTTTTAGTCGAGGCGGGGGTTTCTCCGTGTTGGTCAGGCTGGTCTCGAACTCACAACCTCAGGTGATCTGCCCACCTCGGCCTCCCAAAGTGCTGGGATTACAGGCGTGAGCCTTTTTATGAAGGCATTAAACCCATCCATGAAGGTGGAGCCCTCCTGGTCTAATCACTGCTTAAAGGCTCCACCTCCCAATACCTTTACTTTGGCAATTAAATTTCAACATGAGTTTTGGAGGGAACAAACATTCCAGCCGTAGCATACAGTACATAATGATTTTTTGAAAATTAAGGATCTTGCACTATTTTTGAGTCAGTTATCCTTAAAGGAGATACCAGATAAACTCTCTTTATTTATAATAGTAACACCATTTAAATTGTGTATTTTTTTTAAGTTTAAAAGGTATAGTATAAGAATTTTTAGGCCGGGCGCGGTGGCTCAAGCCTGTAATCCCAGCACTTTGGGAGGCCGAGATGGGCGGATCACGAGGTCAGGAGATTGAGACCATCCTGGCTAACATGGTGAAACCCCGTCTCTACTAAAAAATTCAAAAAACTAGCCGGGCGAGGTACGTGAACACTGAAATTTAAAGATGGGAAAAGAAGCCCAGATGCAGTGGCTGTCGCCGCTGTCATCTCAGCCACTTTGGAGGCCACGGTGGGAGGATCACTTGAGCCAGGAGTTTAAGACCAGCATGGGCAACATAGTGAGATGTCATCTCTACAAAAATTCAAAAAATTAGCCAGGTGTAGTGATGCACTCCTGTGGTCCCAGCTACTGGGAGGCCAAGTAGGAGATCACTTGAGCAGGGAGATGGAGGCTGGCAGTGAGTCATGATCATGCCACTGCACTCCAGCTTAGGTGACAGAGGGAAGACCCTGTGTTTCAAAAAAAAGAGGAAGAAAGTCATGTAGTAAGACCTTAAAACTTCCAAAAGCTTAGTCTTTTGGTTTGAACTAAGTATCAGCTATTAAGGAACCTGTGTTTCCCCCATTAGAATGTCTTATGTATCCATATATTCCTTTTTGTATCTATACTACCATCCTAGTTGTGTACTTTTCTGTTATTCTTGCCACAGTTTATTCACTTAAACATATATGAGTGTGTATTTTGTGGCAGGCAGTATTCTCTTGCTGGAGAGTAGTCAGTGGACAAGAGCCTCCAGTGACTTCGCTGTTGTGAACTCTTAGTTGTTCAACATGAAACTGTTGTTATTCACACTTCTAA